AAACTTTGGGAGAAAAAGCAATGAATTGTTTTCAAATGGAAAAAAAAAGTCCATGGGACAATGGGATTTCGTAAGGCTTAATTATATTGAGCATAATTTTGTACACTAATTGCTCATTTGTATACCTTTGGAGAAATAGCTGTTCAGATCTTTTATCCATTTGTTAATTGGGTTCTTTTTATTACTAAGCCATAATACGTCCATTGTTATCGCTGTTGTGACTACCATCAAGTCAAGTATGGCTCACAGCAACCCCATGAACAGAAGACCTGAAGCCTTTTGATAACTATCGTTTCTCAAAGTCCAGAGAGTTTCCAGAGGCATGTTGTTTAGGAAGCGGATGCCACTCCTATAGTCTACATAAAAATCACTTCTCGAATGTGTGGTTTCTAAATTTTTCCCCACTCCCTGGATTGTCCTTCACTTGTAATCTTGTCTTCTGAAGCACATTTTTAATTGTGTCCAATGTATCCATATTTTTTTTTATTTTGTGGCTGTGCTTTTGATTTTAAATCTAAAACCCAACCCATGAGCATAAAGATTTATTGTTACATTTTCTCCTAAATACTTTATAGGTTTAGATCTCTGATCCACCTGAAGTTCATTATTTATATGTTACGAGCTAGGAGTCCGGCTTCATTCTTTTGCACGAAGGGGAATTTTTATTTTCCTTATTCTTTTCTATAGCCATCTTTCTTTTTCATGTGACACAGTGATCCCAAGGTGAGCTCGACAGAAAGTTGTTCTGGCCCATGACACACGCACCCCTCGTAGGTGGAAACTAAAAGATTAATTTTCTTGGGGGTACATACCCCACCACTCCTGCCACAGACACCAATACTCGCCAAATCTCACATAAGCAATTGTTTTCTTTGGCTGGATCGTTAGTCTTTTGTTAAAAAGCACTATCATGTCTCACAAACGGGTCCATCAGGTCTCCTCCAGGGACTGGGGTCCAATCCCCGACTAGCTGAAGCAGGAGAGGAGGGTAAGAGGACTTTGCCTGGCAACAGCTTCCCGGGGAGAGAGTCAGACAGAGCAGATAACTCGGTGCCGACCTGCTGACATCAGAGCTTACAGTTCTTCTAGGAGGCTGATTCTTGTGCCACCTTGTTGAACAGGTAGAACTTTATCTATCACCCCATTGGCTACTTCACAGCCTGGCACAAAGCAGCTGTGGGTAGGTATTTGATGAGCATAGCAGTGGCGATCTACTTGCCAGGATGAAGGAGGTGAGAGGGACACGTGCCGAAAGGGAGGGACACTGGAAGGACGCCTCTGCAGGCGGCAGCATGTCCTTCCCCACCATGCCTACAGCGGGCAGTGAGGCAGTGGCAACTTCATACCCCACCTGTGTCCTCAGAGAGCAGACAGTGGACCCCTGGACATGGCTGGCCCAGCCAGCGGGGGGGGGGGGGGGGGGGGGGGGGGGGGGGGGGGGGGGGGGGGGGGGGGGGGGGGGGGGGGGGGGGGGGGGGGGGCAGGTGCTGCACAGCCCACCTGATTCTGTCCCTGGGGAGCGGGCAGACAGTGGACACCTGGATGGAGCTGACTCAGTGTTCAGTGGGACAGCTGGTGCATGTCCATCCAGTCTCTGTCCCCAGGGAGAGGCCAGATGGTGGACAGCTGGACAAAGCTGGCTCATCATGTACCTTGAACGACAGTGGGAAGTCCTGTTCCTATCTGTTTGGAAAGCTCTGCCCGTTGATGTGGGGACCAGCCCTGGTCCCTCTGAGAACAGGATCGTAGCCCGGGCCTGTTTCAGTCCGGGTCCAGCCTGAGGCTGAAGACAACAGCTGGGCTCCCCCACAACCACAGGCAAAGGAAGGGGGACAGCTGCTTGTCAACCTGTTGGCACCCGAAGGGCCACTGGGACGGAGAGAGGATGAAGTGTCCATTCATGCTGGCGCAGCCATGAACTGCACTCAGAGTCCGAGGACAGCAGGCAGGTACACTCGAAGCTGCTCCCCCACTAGTGTGCCCTGACCCCCGCCCTGGAACCTGTCCACACCTCATGCCCTGGGGCCTCACCTAGAAATGGGATCTTTGCAGATATAACTTCTAGAACCCGAGATGAGATGGTCCTGGCTCACTGAGGCAGGTTACACCCAGTGCAGGTGTCTTCACGAGAGGGACCCCTACCTCCAGTGCAGGGGGAAGACGTGGAGAAGGCCAGGTGAGGACAGAGACAGCAGTGGTGGATGCGTCACACACCAAGGAGCCACCAGAGCCTGGACGAGCTGGAAGGACCGTCCCTGGAGGCCTCGGAGGTGGTGTGGCCCCACCGCCACTCTGATTCCAGTCAGTCTTTCAGCCCCTGGACCATGAAGGGACTTCAGTCCCTGGACCATGAAGGGACAAGCTTCAGTTGCTCTGTGCCCATCTCACACCAGCATGAGAGCTCACTGCTCTTCCAGGCTCAGGTACTGCCTCCTTCACTCCATCCAGGTCGCTGGGTCCTGCTCAGGAGATAGCCTCGTCCCTTCTGCCCACATCTCCTAGCCTTGTCAGAACCCTGGGCCATGCAACCCCCCAGGGGTCCAGCTCTGTCCCTGGCCTCCCAGCTGCAGGAGGACAAGCAGTTGGGAGCCACACTCTGACCTGCTGGATCCCACATCCCAGATACTGGCCCGAGGCCCCAGGAGATGGGGTGAGGAGTGAAAACAGGAGGGTTCAGTTCAATAATCACGCAGGCAAGACCTCTCTGCAGAGGAACACGGGTCCAGGTTTAATGATTTCTGAAGACAGCGTCAGCAGGAGTGCGGGCGGCGGGCAGGGGCCTGCTCGAGGCATGCCTGGGAAACAGGATTTCAGGAGTCTTTCCTGGGAAGGGCACGAGACCTGGCCTAAGGGCTGGCCCACGGCAGCCAGGGAGGATGTAGGATGACCATGACCAAAGGATTCCTCAGACTCCACGGGGAAAGACCATTGTCACGGGCGTGGGGACCCCAGTAGGCAGTGGGGTCAGTCAGGCCCTTGGGTTAGGGTGAGGTGGACAGGGAGGACCACGTGGAGCCCTGACCAAGCCTGGACCCTCTTCCCTCCACCCTGGACGGCCGTGGTGGTGCAGGAAAGTTGCCTTTAGTGTGAATCGATAAACTGGCTCAAAGTGTCATTTAGACAAAGCCCCAGAAGCACAGCCAACAAGGGCCCCGTCGACCTGCTAGAGCTCTCACGGGGTCCCTGCCCTGAGAGAGCTCTCTGGTTGTGCAGGGTCAGGCCTGAGTTGAGGACAGCGGGGCACCAGGGAGAGGGCACAGCACTCCCGGTGCCCCAGCTCTGAACCCCTGGCTCCCCACCTGTCCAGGTGTGTCTGACACCTTTAGTGACGGTGTGGGTCTCCTCTATTCCTGTGGGGGGACCACGCCCTCTGGAGCCAGGGACACAGAAAATTCGGCCCCTTCCAGCTCTCCCTGTCCTCCCCAGCGTGCAGCAGGTTAAAGAGGGCCTGGTGAGGGTGGGGTGTCGGCCATGGATGCAGGGTCAGGGATGACAAAGCCAGGGGGCGGTAGGGCCCTGACCGGCGGAAGAGGCTGCTTCGTCGAGATCATTCTGTCCCACGCTTCACAAGGATGGCGGGCAGACTGTACAGGGTTTTGGAAACCTTGCAATTCCTGCACCTGCCATACAAGATTTGTGCAAAACTACGTGATTCTGAGGGGCTCCCACAGTCAGGGCCTGGACCCTCTGAGGCTGACCTGCATGGGGAGTCCCAGGAAGCTGACATGGGGTCAGGGAGCAGGTGTGGGGCCCTCACAGGGGCCTGAGAGCAGCGCTGAGGAGTGAAACAGAACAGTGCCTGGGTGGCCGTGAACTTGGCTCTGCTTTAGAGGGGCCTTTGCGTCTTATGTAATCTCTAGTGGCCCAGCGGGTCCACGTTGCCCTGTTAACCGGAAGGCAGACAGATGGAACCCACCAGCTGCTCGGTGGAAGAAGGGGTGGCCTCAAGCCCCAAGGGAGGGTCCCCATGAGTGAGCTGAGTCGAGGGCAGTGCGTCAAGTTTGGGTGCCTGTCATGAAGCCCCAGTGCAGCATTCACCATCGGTTAATGTGCCGTGCTGCTAAACATGAGGCTGGCGGTTCAAATCTACACAGAGGTGCCTCGCAGGTGAGGCCTGGCAACCTGTGTTCAAAAACAAGCCCTTGAAAGTGTCATGGAGCCCAGTTCTGCCCTGGCACACCCGGGGTCACTGTCAGAATCAACTCGGCCACGGTGGGCTTTGGGATCTCCTGGGCAGTGTAAACGGCTGCTGGGGGCAGGGAGGCAAAGCCTGGGAACCTTGGGCAAGGACCAGGGAGCCCCTCGAGTTGCTTCGGCTAGGACACAGCACGCATCACTGGGAGCTGCGGTCAGCTCCACCAGGGCGACTGTCCAATCCTTGTTCCTTAGAAGCGCCTGCAGGTCTGGGGACCCCTGCAGCCGCCGAGCAGCCCAGATCAAACCACAGGGCCTGGATGTGCCCCGTGGGAGCTGATGGTGGTTTCTCAGCCCAAGCCCAGTCAGCGCTGCAGCTTAGAGAGACAGTGGGGCCAGGCCTCAGGGGTGTGGGCCGGACATGGAGTCAGTCCAGCTACCCCCGGGGGGTTCAGGCATGCCAGATGTGGACACTGTTTCTGCATCCTGGCCCCCACCCCGCTGCGCACGGCTTCACTGACACCCCACTTAATGAGGGCTGCATGGGAAGGCGTGAAGAATGAGTTCTACTTCCCTGTGCTCCCGCGAGAACCTAGCCAGGGACGAGGCGGGGACTGGGCACAGAGACGCCCTGCCCCGTCCTGGGGTCACTTGAGGATATGTACACAGAGGGGAGCGGGAGGTCCCCACATCCGAATGGGCGCCCTGCCCGGTGACCTCGCCCATCCGCAGCGTCCACGGAGTCGCAGATCTGGACCACGAAGCAGGAGGAGTGTGGCTGCTCCCTGGCCGTGAGGGCCTTTGCCAAAGCCGGGAAGCGGGGGCGGCGGCGCGGCGGGGGCGCGGAGGACGGCCGGGGGCGGCGGCTAGGGCTCCGCGGCCGGCTTGACCAGGTAGCCGCTGAAGGTGATGTAGGTGTCGAACTCGTCGCTGAAGACGGCGTTGTCGCGCTCGCCCTTGAAGAGGCGCACCCACACGGCGTCCTGCTCGCGCAGCTCCAGCAGCAGGCTCTGGCTCTGCATGATGCTGCGCTCGCTCACCTGCGCGTACAGGATCACCACCTCCTCCGCGTTGCGCATGATGTGCAGGTACGTCTCCTTCTGGTTCCACGTGTGCACGTTGAGGCTGAAGAAGTAGATGCCCGGCACGTAGCAGTAGAACTTGCCCATGAACATGTTGAAGTGGCCGTAGAGGTTGACGAACTCCGTGTCAAAGACCACGGTCTGGTAGTAGTCATTGCTGTGCAGCGGCTTCCTCCTGCCCACCGAGAAGGCCGCGTAGTGGCTCTTGCAGCGGTCCCCCGGGGCGCCCACCGAGCCCTTCTGCCCCTTGGGGCCCGTGTGGCCCCGGGCGCCCGCCGAGCCTGTCTTGCCGAACTTCCCCTGGAGGCCTCGATCCCCTCGGTCACCCTTCTCACCTGAAAGGAGACACGGACAGGAGGGACAGCTAGCGGCCACCTGCACTGAGGGCTCCCGCCACACGCTGTCCCCTGGATGCCACATGCGAGGGGCTGGCCCTGCGGTCCTCATTTCTTACTGTTGTCATTATGTGCCGTCAAGTCGCCTGCAACTCATAGCGACCCTATGTACAACAGCCCTAAACCCTGCTCTATCCTGTGCCAATCGCACTGCCTCTGGCACACCCATCCCGATTACCCCAGTCACTGAATCAATCCACCTCACAGAGGGCCTTCCCCTCCTGTGCGGTCCCTCCACCCTCCCAAGCATGACGTCCCTCTCCAAGGACCCGTCCCTCCTTGCAACATGTCCAAAATATGTCAGACCAAGCTTCAGAATCCTTGCCTCCAAAGAGCAGCCTGGCTTCACCCTCTCCAGGGTGAACCTGTTCGTTCTCCTCACAGTCCATGGTATAGTCAACACTCTTCTCCAGCATCACAGCTCAAAGGCATCAATTCTCCTCCTATCCTCCCTAGTCATTGTCCAGCGCTCTGACGCATAGCTGTGGGGCACTAAAAGTCAGCGGTTCAAACCCACCAGCCACCCCCAGGGGAAGGTGAGACAGTCCACTCCCGTGAAGGTCCACAGGCTCTGGGACAGCAGCGGCTGAAGTCAGGATCAGCTCAACGGCACTAGATTTTTGTTGTGTACATTGGGTCGGACCCGTAGCTGACCTGCCGGCGGGTTTTCAGAGATGGCCACCTTTCTTCTGAGGAGCAGCTGCTGGGTTCGAACTACACGCCTTCAGGATTGTAGCGCAGTTTCTTGCCACTAGGCCTCCAGAGCTCCCCAGTGGCAGATAATTTTGGGTGGTTTTTTCTTAACTGCTACCTCTATAACTCTATAAAGAGCAAGAGTGGCACAGTGTATAATTTATCGGGCTGCTGACTGAGAGGTCAGCGGTTCGGGTCCACCAGCTGCTCTGCAGGAGAAAGACGGGCATCTATTTGGTGAAGATTTACAGCCTTGGACACTCAGTGGAGGATCACAAAGCGTTGAAACCAATTAGATGGCAGTGGTTTTGGTTCATTACGATCTCTGTATCTACCTACCGATCTGTGGTGGTGGTGACTGCTGTCGAGTCCAGCACAACTCATAGTGACCCTATGAACAACAGGCCTAAAGCCTTTCTATAACTGTTGTCATTTATCAAAGTTCATAGAGTTTCCAGAGGCCTGGTGTTTAGGAAGTGGATGCCACTCTTGTTTCCAAACTGTATTACCCATCTATTATCTGGGGTGGCTTAGTGGTAAGAAGCTGCACTGCAATCCCAAAGGCATGCAGTTCAAGTCTACCAGCTGCTCTGTGGGAGAAGGGCAATCTCCCCTTGTGAGATTACCTGCCTCTGAACAGCCGCCAGAGGGTCAGCTATGGGTCAGTTTCGACTTGACGGCACCCAAAAGCAACAGTCCAGCGATCCATGTTACCTACCTACTATCTGTCTACGTGAAAGGAGCGTGGGTGGCCTAGCAGGTAAGGGGTGGCACAGCCAACCCAGAGGCACACAGTTCCAATCCACTGCCTGCTCCTCAGGAGAAAGGTGGACACTCTCCTTTTGTGCGATTGACAGCCCCTGACGTCCACTGGAGGGTCAGCTACGGGGGGTCCAGCTGGGCGGCACACAACAGCGTCTGCCTGAAATGGGAACTGTTCCACCATTTGAACGTTTTTAAGTGTACAACTTAGTGGCATGAAGACAGTAAGGTCTGGTTATGAACGCCTAATTCAACAAACAGCTACCACCGCTCCTTTGTTGTTGTTAGGTGTCATCAAGTCGAGGGCAACCCACAGTTACCCAATTAACAGATCTGAACCCTATTGAGCCTACAGTGACAATCACCATGTCAGTCCACCTGGTTGAGGGTCTTCCTCTCCTTCAGCAACTCTCCACCCTTCCCATCATGTCCCTCTCCAAGGAATAACACCTCCTAGCAACATACCCTAAGTATATGAGGCAGAGCCTCAGCATCTTTGCCTCCAAAGAGCACTTTGGCTGCACCCTTTCCAAGATATATTTGCTCTTTCAACAGTCCATGGGATGTTCAGCGCTCTTCTCCAACACCACAGCTCAAAGCATCACTTCTTCTTCTGTCATCCTTATTCACTGACCAGCTCTCAGATGCATAGCAAGCAGGTGGAAAGACCATGGCCTGGATCAGACACAGCTTAGTCCTCAAACTGACATCATCACTCCTCAATAATTTAGAGAGGTTCCTAACTGCAGACTTCCCCAATGTAATACATCTCCTGATTTCCTGACTGCTGGTACCAAGGGTGTTATCTGTAGATCCAAGTAAGAAGTTGTTGACAGTTTCAATCTTTTTTTCTATCTATCATGATGTTGCCTATCGGTCCAGTAAGAATCTTTGTCGTCTTGACATTGAGATGCAATCCATATTGAAGGCTGTATTTTTTTTTATCCTCTGCAACAAGTGCTTCAAGTCCTCCTCACTTTCAGCAAGCAAGGTTTTGTCATCTGCATAAGACAGGTTATTGATGAGTCTCCCTCCAGTCCCAATGCCATAATCCTCTTCATAGAGTCCAGCTTCTTGAATAATTTCCTCAGCATACAGATTGAATACGTATGGAGACAGACTATAAGCCTGACACACTCCCTTTTTAATTGTAAGCCATGCAGTATTTCTTTGTTCTGTTCACACAACAGCTTCCTGGTCTAGGTACAGGTTTCACATGAGCCAAATTAAGTCTCTGGGATTCCCATTCTTCGCAATGGTTATGATATCACTGGTTATGATCCACACAGTCAAACGCCTCTGCATAGTCAATAAAGCATAAGTCTGTCCTTTAAGACTAGGTAAACTCCCCTCACCTTGAAACAGCTGGTCCCTCCCCTCAAGCCCACAGACTCGCTGCCTTCTGATTCACAGGCCTCCAGTGGTTTCGAACCATCACACACTCAGGCTGCCTACTCTGCCCCCCAGAGCTCCTTGACAACCCTGCTCACAAGAAATCCCTCCCCACAATCATCTCCACTTGTTGTACACGCAGCCTTCAAGTCAAGTGCCACAGCGTCTGACCCTTCACTACGTGATGTTCTCGGGTCCCCACATGTCATAGCATGCAGCAGAGCTGAGTCTATTCCACAGGGGAGTGGACTATATTCCATCACAGGGCAGATCCCTATGCTTGTCCACCCAGTGAGATGCCTCCGTCTCCTGGCTACTGTCAACCATGCAGCAGTGAATATGGGGGTGCACATGTCTGTCCCAGCTTTCTCATCTGGAGCTGGTACCTCGGAGCAGGGCAGCTGGGCCGTAGAATGACCCAGGCCAGCCTTCTTCCTGGTTCTCACTGCTGCCCCCGTGCCAGGACCCCACCCTGGGCACAGGGTGTTTCAAGTCACCACTCAGTCAAGCCAGCAGACTCTGCTTCAAAGGCTTCTCTGCTGCCACCCAGAAGCAGTCATTATTTCCCCTCTGGAAAGCCTGGAGAAGCAGAGGGGACAAATGGGCCTGCCCAGAGGCGTGTCCCCTGCAGCCAGGCCCACTGCCCGCCGGGCAGATGGAGAGCAGATGTAGGCACAGGAAGTGGTTGCATGCTTCCTGCCAGGGCTGCCAAGCTTCTGCTCCATGCAGCCATGCAGTGGTGGTCTGCGCTCTGTGAAGCCCCCTCTGCTATCCTGGGTTCTGTGGCCCCTGGCCAGTCCCTCACGTCCACTAGCCCCAGGGTCCCAGCAAAGGCCTTCCCTCCTCTCTTTCCCCTGGAGCTGACAGTGGCCTCTGCTCCATCCCTGTCCCTCCCCGCTCGTGCCCCACCTCCTCCAGGCCGCGGCTGACCTTTCAGAATGGTGATGTTGATCTGGGGCACCGGCAGCGGCTGGTACACGGGGGCCCCGGGGTCACAGCAGCGGAAGCATCTAGAAGCAGGCAGCTCTGCGTTCCGGTGGGCGCCGTATCGCTCACGGTCTTCTTCAGTCCTGAGGGATTGAGGTTCTCACGATCAATGCCGTGCACGCTCAGGGCCTAGAACCTTCTTCCGCCTCCCCGCCGCACTGACAAGCCCTCTGCAGCAGGGCTGGGGGCTGGGCGCAGTGTCCAGGAGGGGGGAGGGGGCTGGGCGCAGTGGGGAGACAAGGCCCGCACTGAGTTCTGGGGTCCTGAGTGAGAGTGGAGGACTAGCCCCCTGCCCTTTGGAAACAGCAGTGAAAGAAACAGCGACAGCAAATCCAGCCACAATCTGAGGGCCACACGGGACACAGCCGCCCAGGAGAAGCCCACACCCTCAGCTGAGTCTGTAGGGAAGCCTCGTGGCACAGCGGTTAACATGGACTGCTAACCAAAAGGTCGTCAGTTCAGATCCACCAAACGCTCCTTGGAAGAAAGACGTGGCAGCCTGGTTCTGTACGGATCTCAACCCCGGGATTCCTACGGGGCGGCTAGGCCCTGCCTCGTGCTCACCGTGGCTGAATATCTACCGGACGGCAGTGGGGTTAGCAGCCTTGGTGCGCAGTGAGTGGCTGAACACAGTGGTCACGCACTTGGTTGCCAGGCAGTCATTTGGCAGTTCAGGCCTAGCAGCCTCTTGGTGGGAAGAAGCCCTGGCAGTCGGATCCCCTCCCCGGGGCAGCCCTCCTGCCTTCCAGGGTGGCGATGAGCCTGAAGCCGCCATCGGCGAGGGGCTGAGGCTCTGGGTGGCGTGAACAATTAGCACTCTTCAGTCACTTAATCCACATCAGAGAGCTGGACAATGAAGGATGACAAAAGAATCGCTGGCTTTGAGCTGTGGTGCTGAGAAGAGCGCGGAACACCCCACGGACGCCAGGAGAACAGATCTTGGAAAGGGTGCAGCCAGAGTGCTCTCTGGAGGCTGGGATGGTGACGCGTGTCTCGCGTGCTTTGGGCATGTGGCCGGAAGAGGCTACTCCGTGGAAAGGGGCACTGGGCCAGGAAAGGTGGGGATCAGCAGACAAGAGGGAGACCCTCAATGAGACGGACTGACACAGGGAGTGCGGCTCACGCCCGCCAGAGGTGAGGACAGCACAGGACGGGGTTCAGGCCTGTTATTCGTAGGGTCGCTGTGAGTCATCTCAGCTTGATGGCACGGACAGCAGCAATGATTAACCTCAGGGCTGGCGGTTCACACACTAGGCATCGGCCAAGGCCTAGCGGTCGGCTTGTGTAGACTCGAAGACCAAGATCATCCTGGGAAGCTGTCCTCCTCTGTGAACCCCGCCCAGCGGTGCCCCGGCAGAGAGGTCTGCCAGTCGCCCTCCATCACTGCCAAGAAAACCCAGGAAGCCCCTCAACTCCGCACCCATGGGGCCGCCGGGGTCAGATCAGCCCTGCAGCAGGGGGTCGGGGCTTGTCGCTTGGCCACTAGTGGCCATGGGTCTGTTCTGACCCCTGAACAAGCTCCGCTCCAAAGGGGCCTTCAGGGCGGTGACGTTCAGAAGCAGATGGCTATGCCTGTCTTCCTAGGAGCCTATGCGTGGGTTTGAACCACCAACCTCTTGGAGAGTAGTCAGTGCCACACAGGAACTCCCCACACACATCCACAGTTCTAGAAACTACTCCTGAGCTGATACTTCCCAAAGTAAAGAGCTGGACAGCCCTCGTGGACACCTTGTCCCTGCAGCACCAGCGTCTGAGCGTCCGTCCGCAGCCACCATGCAGGACGGAGAATGGACGCCTGGTGGCGCGGTGACAGCTCCATCGCTCCACCTTGTGGCACCTCCCTGAACTGCACCTAGCTGGCCATTATCTGCGACTGACACTTTCCAAGGTCCCCTGTCCCTGCCTCTCCCTACAGGCTGTCCTCTGGACCACGCAGATGTTTCCCAGGGACAGAGCAGGCGTGGAAGGACAGACGGAAAGGCAGGGCTCTGAGGAAACGGCTGTGAAGCCTTCCAAGGCTCACGCACCTCGGGGGTCAGGGTGAGGCTGGCTCGTGTCCTTGGTCCCAGATAAGGCTCCTGAAGCCTGGTCCTGACCCCCAGAGCTCCCTGCTGCCCCAGGAGCCTCCCAGCCTGGCCAGCGTGGATGACCACAGCCCTCACCTCTCAGTGGGGTCCAGTGGGGGCGGTGGTTCCTTGGTCCCCTCTGCCGTGGTGTCTTCTGGGGTCACCTCGTGTTCCTGTTCAGTTTGCTGATCACGGGGCACTCGGCCCAGCGCTGGGCCACAGACGAGGGTCAGCAGCAGACAGCAGCCCAGCAGGGGTCCCAGGGCCCGAGCACCCATCTTCCCGCCGAGGTCTGGGAGACACAGGGAAGGGGCAGTGAAGGAGGGACAGTGAAGGAGGGAGGGACAGGTGAGGAAGGAGGCTGGCGAGCAAGGTGAGGAACAGGGTGGGGGAAGGACCCAGCACAGAGGATCAGACATGTGCCTGGATCATCAATGGAACATTTGAGTCCCAGCTCCGCTTGGAGACCTGTGTGCGCGGGTGTGTACACATATCCTCACACTTACCAACAGGGACCTGTACACGGTCATGTCACACACAATCATGCCATCACACACCTTCACATACACTCACATTACCACCTACACACACACACACACTCTCTCTCACACACAAGTGCGTTCTGACACACGTGCACACCCACAGTGCACTCACACTCATTCCCGTCCTCTCTCCCACGTGCTCACTGTATGCACCACCAGGGGCCCCGCCCCTTTCTCCTCTCTTCTAGAAGTTCAGGTGACAGACAAGGCCACAGAGGGTCTCATTTATTGACCCCCTCCCAACCCCACACTTTACCACCTTTGATATGTGAGAAGACAGATGCTTCAAGAACTCCGCCCAGCTGCCCTACTCACAGAAAACCGTGACCAAAAGCAGCAGGCGCTGGCCCTGCCGGTGCCACCTCCGTGTCTGCCCGTCAGACGGAGCCACGGGGTTCTCACGGACCTTAGGAGGGGGATCACCAGACCTTTCTTCCTTTCTTCTCAGCCTGGAAGCTCTGAAACCCACTCGGCATCCTAACATCACACAAGCATCCGGCGACAGCAGCGGCTGCACGTGAGGTGCAGTGCGCTGGCCGGGAATCGAACCAGGGTCTCCTATGTGGAAGGCAAGATTTCTACCACTGAGCCACCACTGCCTCTTAGCTTATGACTATCCAATTAGGCAAGGAGCTGGTGACATAGTTGTTACACATTGTGTTGCTAATCAGATCATCAGTGGTTCAAATCCACCAGCTGCTCTGAGGGGGAAAAGATGGACAGTCTGCTCCCAAAAACATTTCCAGCCTTGGAAACGGCATCAGTGTGAAAGCAGGGCTTATGGGCATCCAATTAGACAAGGCCATTTTTAAGAGGTGGGGCTGGACTCAGAGGCTGCCCTTGAAACACATCACAATCTACGCCAACTGCAAGGTTATCTCAAGTGTTTCAAGTTCAGGTTGTTACCCTTTGCCTCTCAGTGGGGAAAACACCACCCTTTGTCTGTGGCACTTTGTTCTCCATATCTCCACATGAGAGAGAGGCTCTGTGGGCCCTGAGGTGTCCCGGAGCCCAGGCCGCAGACCAGGCCATGGCCAGCACCTCCACGTGGCGCCGCTGCTGACCCACCCAGATTCTTCGGATTCTCTCTGTTTGCTTACTTCTCCATTTCTGTATTTCCTCTGCTTTTCTTTGGCACCCTAGTAATTACTCTTTTTTTAATTTTATTTTAAATTACAAACTTGCATCAGGTGAAAGGAAAATAAACCTTCCTTTCTTTAAGCATATTTTCTTTCCTGAATCCAAACCATATTGATTTTGGAAAAGCTAAAAGCACAAGACAACTCAGTAAAAACCTACTTGATCCTTCTACCTGAGCCTGTCTCATCATCACCTTGGGCCAGATGATTCCCTGTCATGAGGAGAAGGCTGCGCATCAAGCTAGGTCTCCCCAGGAAAGTGAGAACATACACAGACCCACAGGGCCTGAGCAAGGGGTGGGGCATGGGGACCCGCAGAGGGTAAGAGGTGCCAGGCCGACAGTGAGGGCAGCACGGCTGATGGTGGCGTGCCACAGAAATCAGAAATCTCCTCTTTGGAGCCAAAGCAAATCCAGAGTGAGACTTTTTCTTCTCTGAAACTATCATTAGAGCCGTTTCCTCCTAGCAAAGTCAGCATCCTGGTACTGTGATCATTTTAGCCACTTCTGGGCAAAACCAGTATTTCCCAACATCTCTTCACCCCTGGAGCCAGCTCGCTCGCAGCCACTGCCAGTGAAATGAGGTCCAAGGAGGGTGAAGTTTGCGCCCGGGGAGGCTGCTCTGGGAACAGACTCGCCACAGACAGAGCAAGTCCAGCAAAGTCGATCAGGACATCCTGACCAGTGGCGTGTCACCCTTCCAAAGCGGGACCCATGGGGTCCAATCTCTGGGCTGCCCTGTGGTCACGGCCATGGAAGGTGACCCCAGCATGACTCAGGTGCTGCTGCTTTCCTCCTTTTATGTTCTTTAGATGAAGCCTGAGCCACATGGAGTGTTTAGCTCCAGGCTCGAGGGGTGACAAGGACCGTAGCCTCGGGCCCCCCCCCCAGTCTCTTTCAGGCCATCAAGCCAGGCTGGTTTGCACTCTTCTCCTGCGTGTTTGCCCGACTCTGTGGGTCTTCTATTAGGATCCTTGTTGGAGCCGTCGGCATGGGGAGAGAGTTCTCGGTGGTGGTGGTGTTGAGAACAACTCACAGTGACCCTCCGGACAGATCTGAACCCTGTCCCGTCCCGTGCCATCCTCATCAGCTCTGACACACACGTGCCCACTGCTGCTGTCACGAGTCAATCCACCTTGTTGTGAGTCTCTCCTTCACTGACCCTCTGTCCTTCCAAGCACGATGGCCCTTTCCAAGGAATAGCCTCTCCCAGCAACACGTCCAAAAACACGTGATGATTAGATCATTTCAAACACTTCCCACACATCTGAGAGCTGGACGACGAATAAAGAAAACCAAAGAAGGATGGACGCCTTGGAGCTGTGGTCTGGAGAAGAGGCCAAGTGCGCCGTGGAAGCCAACAGAACGAACAAGGCCGTCTCAGGGAGTGCGGCTGGGGCGCTCTGTGGAGGTGAGGACGGCGAAGCCTCGTCCGTGCTCCTGGGCATGTCCTCAGGAGGGGCTGGTCATGCTGGGAAAGCTGGGCAGTCTGAGGGCGAGGAAGACGCCACTGGATGGGCTGGCATAGCGATGATGGCTCTAGCCTAGGACAGTGTGAGAAAATACAGTACAGGACGAGGGTCGGGTCTGTTGACGACAGGGTTGCTGCGAGGGACTGTCCGCCCGACGTCATCTTCCCACAAGGCGGCAGGTGCCAAGCACTGAGCACCGTCTAGCCCTGGCTCCACGGTTATGGAGACGGGGTTCTGTGCTCCACCAGTGGGCCTGGTCCACGGTTATGAAGACGGGGTTCTGTGCTCCACCGGCGGGCCTGGTCCACGGTTATGGAGACGGGGTTCTGTGCTCCACCGGCGGGCCTGGTCGCTCCCTGCACCTCGGCTTTCTTCTACCCCTCCTTTTGTTAGACACGGGGAGAGATGTGCAGTTGCACCGTAGACACTGACGTTGTTTACGTGCGTTCAAACCCTGAGAAGCAGGCTGACTCCACGGGAACCCTGCGGACACCGTTCCCTCCCACCGTGTCCCTGGGACCCGCAGTCCTGCAGACCCCCCTCCTCGGCCGCCTCCTGCTGCGGGCTCTGGAGGAAGTGGGGAGGCTGAGAACACCTCTTCATTGACGTATTTTAAAATGCTCACGAGACATCATCGGCGCTGTGTCAGCGTTCTCGAGGGGACTCTGAGATCGGGGGAACGGCGGGGCTCCGGCCCAAGTCATCCACTTGATCTCTGTTCTCTTCTCTCCTTCTTGTCTCACTGAAAACTGCATCTCCGCTGCTTTTACAAATGAATGCACTTGGCATAGAAGTTTCAACATCTTCACATGCAGGTGGAGGGGGCTGAGCACACTCACTATACTGTAACGTCGCTGGCACGATCTGTTCTCCAAATGTGGTCATCACTCCAGGCAGACTTGCGGATCATTTCAGAACCGTGGTGACTCCTTCAGGCCCTGTGGACACAGGCGGGTGAGAGGACAGTGCCCCATAGAGATGTCAGTGGCTCAGATTTCAGAAAGCACCTGTGGGTGGACTCAAACCTTCAACCTTTCCCTCAGCAGCCAAGCATGTTAGCCATTGCCCCACATCGGGCCTCCTGGCAAACCCTTTTTTTGTTGTTAGGCGTCATCAGTCCTCTGAACTCTTAGTGGCCCTGTGAACAGCAGGTAGCAGGCTTGCCCTCTCCGTGCCACCGTCGCCTCCCTGACACGCCCTGACCGTGGCCACAGTCGCCGTGGCTCGGTGAGGACCTTCCTCCCTGTCACGGAACCTCCACGAATCCCCGCAGGATGCCTTCTCCCAGGGACCGCCCTGTGGTGACTCCTTTGAGAAGACCATGTTCATACCCTCAAGTTCTAGTTTCTTTCAAAACTGGCCCAGATGGGTCATGGTCCCGGGGCTCCCGTTACGAGTGGATTCCTGGAACTCCAGGAGCATGTGTTTGGGATTTCCTTCAGGATGCCCCACCCGGCCCAGGCCACCAGCGGGTGCGCCCTCGCGCGGGTCCTCATCCGGCCCACAGCTGTTGTGAACAAGGAGAAACCTCCAATTTCCTGACTTGGAAAGCAGGTCCACGCCCACGGAACTCTGGAATTCCCTCTGCACAGACAACGGGGCCCAGGCCTGGGTTCTGGGGTGCCCGGGGTCTGCACGGCATCGTGCAGGAGCGAGGGAGGAAATGACTCAGCTGTGAGCTCATGAGGCAGACAGATGTGTGCTCAGCTCCAACGCACGTGGGACCAGAATGCTGACGGAAGGACGGTCGGACCTTCGCTGGCGGGCACGGATGTCACTCTCCACACGTAACCATTTCAGTTTAAATTCATGAAAAACACAAAGAAGACTTAAAAGTCCACTCTTCAGTCTCACGAGCCCCATTCAAGTGCCGGTTCAAGCACGAAGTCACCACCCATGGCTGCTGAGTTGGTTAACTGCTCATGATGGCCCCCATCTTTCTGCAGGGCGTGAGCCCCACAGGGGGAGCCTGGTTCTTCTGCAGAGTAGCCGGGAGTCAAACCCCCAGCCCTTTAGCTCCTAGCCCCACCTGTGACCCTCTTTGCCATCGGGTCTCCTCCACGTGTGGACTGTTGCTGGGTTCCCGTCAGGTCTGATCCAAGTGGCTCTCATGCAGCACACGAGAC